TGACACTCTGCAATTCCTTTTGGTGAACTGGTGGCAAATTTCATAAGAATTTTGTAAGATACTATTCACATGTGTTGTGAAATCAGCTTACATACCAATGAGGGTTAGATTTAGGGGTGAGATTAGAGGTGAAAAACAAATTTTGTTTCAAGAAGTCTTACATTTAAAAAAAAAAAAAAAAAATCGTACACATTCATATGAAATCAGCAACTCAAAAAATGGTTTAAAAAATGGTTCTTGTGCTTTCTTGTGTGTTTGTCGCACTGCGAATGTTTTCAAATTTAGTAAGCAGCTTCTTTGTGAGAAATAATAATAAAAGATTATGCCAAAATACTTTTTCCAGTATTTTATATATTCTTTAATGAAATTCTATATTTCATATTTCATTTTTTCTTCATTATGATATCAGGAATCTTGTATCACCCTGACATTTTTTTTTTATTTAAAAATCTATCAAAATTATCTTTAGAAAATAAAAGTTTGTCACAAAGGACTTGTATTCAATTCATTGTATGTATGAATTATTTTGTAATGAACACATTTTAAGATCTATACAAAAAAGTCATGTCATTGACCCAAATATAATTATTTTAGCACGAAACCACAGCGTATACAAAAGGCCCTCACTAATATAGCTTCTAAGATGTGTGTGAGCACACTAATAAAAACAGAGTCAAGGAATGGATGTGCTTATTGTAAGGTGAATGAATAATAACAAAGATTAAAATATAAACACCCACACAAATTCTTCATAACCACACTCACATACCAACACGACTGAACACACGCACCAATAAAATGATTTGGAGAGTTAGAGGTTAGTGCAGCTGATGTAAGAAAGTACCTCCATGCTGTCTTATGCTCCTTTCCATCTCAGTTACACACACACACACACACACACACACACACACACACACACACACACAATACAAGCCAAAAAAAAATTGCAATAGCTTTTAATGTGAGGAAATATTGTCTTCTGCTTCAAGACAAGGGAATCAATGATAAATAAAGCCTTACATCTCACAAAACACATCTTACAAAATAAATCACAAATGAAACAAAATTTTACATTTAAACATATTAAACACAAAATATTTACATAACATTAGTTCTTCCTTTTTTTTTTTAAAGCAAGAGAACGTATGTACCTCAATGTACAAATGATACCTTACTTTCAAAACACAGATGAACAAACAAACCTATACTCCTGAGAGAATGCTGGATTATATTTTAGCACACACCATGATTTCTTTAAGGCTGAGCAACTTCAGTTTTCGTTTACGCATGAGACACGGCAACACTATACCGCCTGGATTGAGTTTTCCCTGTTTGTTCCTGAGGACAAAAGTGTCACTGACAGTTCTGTAAGGCCATAGGCACAGTTCTCCTTAAATGATGAACCAATGATTCCCTTTGTGCATGTGTCACTGTGTCTCCTCTGACATCACTGAGAGATTATGTAAATCCACAGAGGAGCCTTCAATTATAAAACGCTTCTCTTCTGCCCCCTCATGGTGGAATCAAGTCAGCGCAGGTGAAAACTGCAACGCAAACCTACACAAATGGGACTTTAAGAGCATGTACTGCTTTAAAAAAATTAAATAAAAAATCTCATGGACCAATAAATAACTCCTAACAAAATCAGGCCAACAGAACAAAATCCTGCAGGACTGTAATGTGGATATTCATGCATGATGAAATAAGTGGACACTCTGAGCGCCAAAACAGTGTTAAATGTATTATTACTGATATTCAGATATGATATGGTGCTTTGATCCATAAGGGTGGATGTATAGGTGAGGTACACTATCTTTCGTGGATGTTTATCTCTTTTACCTGTCCAGCAGGTTGCTTTAAATATCCCTCAGGGGTCTACAGTTCATACAGTATTTACAGCTCATCCGTCCTGCTAAAGTCATGAAGTATTCAACGCAGAAGGATTAGAGAATCTCAAACTAGCATGAAATGCCATGGTATGTTAAACAATGGCCCCCAAAAGCCCTGTCCCTAGGGCTTTATCTTTGGAATGCTATTGAAAAATTGATTGTCATTTTCGGGGCAAGGGTAACGTATGAATGGTGTTAAAGTGCTCGGTGGCATTTCAAAGACGGGACTCCTTCGAGAAGCTAAAATAGAAAACATGGGGAATATGGAAAACCACCTCTCTCCCCGAATCCCTTTAAATGTTAAAACTGTGATTCAATTTTAAATGGTCATTCTTGTGTGCAATGAGCCGAAATGATTTTTCAGCCTAAAAAAGTTGGCCAATATGGGGAGCAGCAAACCCCATTTATGCTTTTTAAAATGTTTTGGTGGCACAATTCATTTGTAAATGAGTGCAGTAATTGAAATTTATATACAATGTACATTTTAACAATGTATTTAAAGATGGGATTTGTCTGATAAACATGTAAAAGCAAGTGCAAATCTAAAGCTGCGTCCCAAATGACGCACTATACACTACTACACTATGTACTTACGCACTATGTACTCAACCATGTAGTGTATGAATTATATAAGGTTATTTTGTCATTCATTAACGGAGTTTGATAGCCCCTCCCCCTTCACTACGTAATTAAAGCTGCGACAGTTGAGTGCATGAAGTGTTCAACATTCCACACTTCGTTTTTTCGATTATTTAAGTGCATCATCCGGATATTTAAAGTGCACTTTTTACTTTTTGGAATTTTTGGTGTGAACACACTACTCACACTATTTATACTACAAATAGTCATAGAATAGTGCATAAGTACGCGATTTGGGACGCACCTTAAGACTTTAAAGTGTAGCGCATATATGCTGTCTGGATGAGTTATATATATATAAATGAGATTTCCATTACCATTTTTGCATCATGAGCTTTTTTGGAATAATAATTAATAATTATTATTATTCTAAATGGTGATTTTCATTACTGTGATAGAGCAAACTTTATTACAGCACAAACTACTGTAATAAAACAATATTTAAAAGCAATACAAAAACATTTACCGTAGTATATAAATACTTTACAATTGAAATCATATATTACCACTATTTATACATTACGGTAATGAGAATTTTGGGGCTAAATTGTTATTAAAATAATGTCACAAAAAATAAAAACAATCCTAAAATAGGACTGATTTGGGTTAGGCAAAATATGATTTCTTAATTTTCTTTTGATTTTGTGGTGTAATGCGACCTGGACATGTTTTGTGAGATTTATTATATTGTAGAAAGATTGCTGAAATGTGTAGAGGGCACTTTGGGTGACTTCCTACATGATTTGATAGAGAGTCCATGAGAGGCAATGATGTGGACAGAAGGGATGATGGGTAAATCAGCAGAAGAATATATCTCCGTCCATTGAAGGCTCTGTCAGGGGCAGCAGATGTGATGCTGAAGACAAAACACAGCTAGATTTAAGCTGAAGATTCATCCACACTGAACCACAATAAATAGACATCTTTCTCAGCGTAATGAACATCTGAGATTAATACATAACACACAACTCAGATAAGCCAGCGTCTATACAGTATGTGCAAATGACCAATTCCAGTCAGAACGGATACAGCGGTTGTGGTTTGCAGGCTAACTGAATCAATCCTTTATCATTATCTCTGTATTGAATTAGTGTGTGTGTGAGTTCACTGTGTTTACCTGCATCCTGAGGAGGCTGGCTCTTGCTCTTCTTCTTCTTTTTGTCCTTCTTCTCCTTGGATGAAGCCAGCTGAAGCAGTCGTGTGGGGATCTGGTTTTGGCCTTCTAAGCTCTGTGTTTTGCCGCCCAGGGAGAAGAAGCTGCGGCCCTTCTGTTTGGAGTCCATCCTGGACAGAGAGTTCTTCCTGGGGCTGGAAGATAAGTCGCCCTCCCAGATCTCTCGCTCTATGGAACTGCTGCTCTGGAGCTTTATGGAATCCTCTGATGTGCTGGAGGGCGTGCGCTGAAGCCGAGCCTGTGGAAGAAATGAGAACAAAGAACAAAACAACAAAAAAATCATGTTAAATTGCAAAACAAATTCATGTTTTGTAAGTTTGGAACTTGTCATCAATTATATTATATATTAATAATTATATTCACAACTATTATTTGAAGAATGAATATACAGAATATTAAAATTATGGCAGATATTGATAAACCAATAATTACTATTATTCATGTTATGCCCGATTAAAATTAAAATTCTATACTATTTTGACTAAATAAATTTAAAATAATATTATATACGTTTGGGGTCAGTAAGAAAAAAAAGTCTATTTCAAATTAATGCTGTCATTTTTCTATCTAACAAAAAGACTGGAGTAATGATGCTGAAAATTCAAAATTGTCATCACAGGAATAAATTACATTTTCAAATATATTAAAACAGAAAACAGTTATTTTAAATAATAATACATATTTAATAATAAATTAAATAATATTTCACAATATTACAGTTTTTATGGTGTTTTTTATCAAATAAATACATCCTTGCTAAGCATTAGAGACTTTTCAAAGCAATATATATATATATACATACATACTGGTAAAAAATGTATAGCCTGAAAGCACTGTAAGTCGCTTTGGATAAAAGTGTCTGCTAAATGCATAAATTATTATTAATTAATTATTAATTAATTATATATATTCGTATATATACATGAGGGGGGGGGGAAACTAAAATGTATTTTGTGTGTGTGTTTATTAGTCAGCATCAAAATGTACATTATGAAAATTGGATATTCATTTTGAAATTTTCTAATGATTACATTTAACAGTGTTAAAAAAAAATCTCTAATATTGTCAGATAACTGATATGATACCAATGCATTCTGCATCCCTAATTTGTAGCATTTTCTAGCATGCAGGCTTTTATCTCACAATAAAATGTGAACAAGACACTGTGCCAATAGTCAAACGTTTAAAATGAGACATTTCTTAATTCTTCCCATTTTATTCAGTCATATAGAGTCAAATTTTAAGAATTTCTCAAATGACTGTCTCTCAAACCATTTCCAAACCCAACACCAAAATAAAAATAATTTTCAATAAAATACTGTGTAAAGAAAGATGACGGCCTTCGTATCCCTATTCTGAGTGAATTAATATTGTATATTACTGTAGCTTATAAGTAATATACAGATGATATGGAGACACAAAACCTGCTTGAATGTGCAGTTCAAGTCTCACCTCCACCCCACGGAGGTGCTCCACTCTCTCCACCTCCCTCTGCAGCTGCTCCCTCTCCCTCTCCAGCCTCCTCTGAATGTCCCTCAGTCTCTCTAGATCCCTCTGATAATCCTCCTTCCTTCCCTGCAGCTCCTGCTGCACCTCCTCCAGCTCTTTGTTCCTCCTCTGCGTCTCCTCCTCCCTCACGTGTAGCAGCACCTCCCGGTTTGTCAGCTCCTGCTCCTTCACATCCCACTCCCTTTCCTTGCGCCACTTCTCTTCAGCGTGGACGGCCTGCTGGCGCTGTAGAGTGGCGGCCTCCTGTCGGTGCCGCTCCAAGCTGCGCTGTTTCTCCTGCTCCACCAGCGAGGGGGGACGAGAGGAGGAGCGGGACGGGGTGCGCTCGTTTAGGGCCTGACGCTGGTCCTCGATAAAAGTGTCCTGCTGCAGCACTACGGCCTGTAACAAAATCCATAAAGTAACCATATAGAACAAGACATAGTATATACACAGATAGTATGAGGGGCAAGAAACAAGAAAACAGTCTAAATTAAATGATTATATTCAAATATATTCCCAATTATATACTCCTAATCATATTATGTATGTACAGTATGTATGTATGTATATATATATATATATATATATATATATATATGTGTGTCATGTTTGTGTTAGATAGATAGATAGATAGATAGATAGATAGATAGATAGATAGATGTATTATTGGGAATACATAAAAAAGTATCAAGATTGTAACTATACATTGCATTCATTTATTTACATATTAAATATATACATACATATATATATATATATATTCACAGACATATATACACATTTTTTTTTTTTAAATAAATATATCGAAAGATCAAAAGTGACAGTAAAGACATCTATGATGTTACAAAAAAAATATCTTTCAAATAAATTCTGTTCTTTTGCACTTTGTAAAAATATTAAACAGCACAACATTAATAATAATCAGAAATGTTTATTGAGCAAATCAGCATATTAAAATAATGGATCATGTGACACTGAAGACTGGAGTATAATGATGCTGAAAATTCAGCTCTGCATCACAGGAATAACTTACAATATATTAAAATAGAAAATGGTTATTTGTAAATTGTAATAATATTTCACAATATTACAGTTTTTACAGTATTTTTACATTTGTATCCTTTTTTTACTGTATTTTTGTATTTTAAGATGTCAGTTCAGATGTATTCTTTTATATTTATATTTTCAAAATGATTTGGCACATCAGCATATATAATATCGGCTGTGAAATACACACCTGAAGTGAGGTCAGGAGGTCGTGAAGGTGAGTGACACTAGTCAGGGTCTGCTGTCAGGAAACACAAGCCATCAAGAAAGACATTCATCATTTGTCTCGATCTCAAAACAGCAGGCAACAAGACATCGAAATGTATATGCTGATTATTAAAATATTTACAACTAATTATATCTGAGACTTATCCAAGTTCAAAATGTCTTACAAGACAGTTGTTATCATCTCTACATGTAATCCTAGTACACTTTGATTCTTTGCCAGTTCCGCAAGCTAAAAACGTCATCCACAGCCCCAAGAAGTGCTGAAGGATAACACCCTGAACTCTAAAAGAAGCATGCTCTTCTGTCTTACCTCGCTGTTTCTCTTCAGCAGGAGCAGCAGGTTGGCGTTTCCTCCCTGTGGAGCAGACAAGCAGAGACTGCAGCTTTACTGAGCCCAGCTGAGAGTGTTTAATCAGCCCAGCACCAGGCAGAGCGAGCGCAGGTCTGAGCCCAGCACACCGCTGCTCATTACGCACATTAAAGAGTCAGCCATGCTGGGCGCTCCTAATGCACGCTTATTCATTTTCCACCCTCCACTGAACCCTCGCTGCACTAATGAGCACATGTGTGTAGTAAACACTAAATGACACTAGGGGGGAGTATGGTTCTGTTTGGGGCTGTTTATTGGGATTGGGTTTTAATGTTGTTTTAAAATATTTTAATAAATATATGCCCAGATACACTGGAAAAAGCAGGAGTTTTTACAGAAGCATAGCAATCATTAGAAATGAATATTTTTTTTATTTTTGAAAAATAATCACACTATTGTGTGTCAATTTCACCTGGATGTAGTGTAAAGAAAAATTGTGGAAGACTAAAATTGTGTAAAATACTAAATTTAAGACCAGCAAGAAGCTTCCAGTTGCATCAACTTAAAAAAAAATTAAATTAAATTGAGAAGCCACAATCCTACTACAGCCAGTTGGAGAACATTAAAATTAATATACCTGATTAATATTCATGAGTAATTTAATATTGTCACACTTTTTAGATATTCTTAGTTATACTTAGAGAATACTTAGATATTCAGATTTATAAATATATATACACACTAAATGTCAAAAGTTGGGGTCAGAAAGACTTTCAAACAAGCATCTTGTGCTTAACATGGCTGCATTTATTTGATCAAAAATACAGTAATATTATGAAACATTGTTACAATTTAAAATAAATGTTCTATTTTAAAATGTAATTTTATTCATGTGATTAAAGCTGAATTTTCAGCATCATTACTCTAGTCTTGAGTGTCACATGATCCTTCAGAAATTATTCTAATACGACGATCTGGCACTGAGGAAATATTTTGGTCACACTTTATTTTAAGGTACAATTCTCACTATTAGCTAACTATTAACTTTTGACTTTTGCCTCAATAAACTCCTGGTTACTGCTTATTAATAGTTAGTAAGGTAGTTGCTAAGTTTAGGTATTGGGTAGAATTAGGGATGTAGAATATGGTCATGCAGAATATGTGCTTTATAAATACTAATAAACAGTCAATATGCTAGTAATATGCATGCTACAAAGCAACTAGTGAGAATTGGTCCCTAAACTATGTATTACCAAATATTTCTTATGTTGAAAACAGTTTAATACTATTTAATTATTATAGAAATGCTTTTCAACTTAAAAAATGTCTTTACTGTCACTTGCTGAAGAAATCCATTAATTTATTTCAAACAACAAAACAATCATACTGAGCCCTATCTTTTGTGTGTATATATACAGTGAGTGTGTGTGTGTGTGTGTGTGTGTGTGTATATATATATATATATATATATCTCACAGAAGTGAGTACACCCCTCACATTTTTGTAAATATTTTATTATATCTTTTCATGTGACAACACTGAAAAAATGACACTTTGCTACAATGTAAAGTAGTGAGTGTACAGCTTGTATAACAGTGTAAATTTGCTGTCCCCTCAAAATAACTCAACACACAGCCATTAATGTCTAAACCGCTGGCCACAAAAGTGAGTACACCCCTAAGTGAAAATGTCCAAATTGGGCCCAAAGTGTCAATATTTTGTGTGGCCACCATTATTTTCCAGCACTGCCTTAACCCTCTTGGGCATGGAGTTCACCAGAGCTTCACAGGTTGCCACTGGAGTCCTCTTCCACTCCTCCATGACGACATCACGGAGCTGGTGGATGTTAGAGACCTTGAGATGCTCAATGGGGTTTAGGTCTGGAGACATGCTTGGCCAATCCATCACCTTTACCCTCAGGTGTGTTTGGGGTCGTTATCAAGTTGGAGTACTGCCCTGCAGCCCAGTCTCCGAAGGGAGGGGATCATGCTC